TATGTTTTCTTTGCGGCGGGGGGAGTAATATCTAGAAATAGAATATCTGGGTTATTGGTGTGGATATGTTTAACTTTCTTGCCATATGGCCAGTCTTTTAAAATTTTAGCCATTCTTACTGATGTACAGGCATCTCCTTGTGGTTTTTCCTATTTCCATAATGACTAATGTTGTTGAGCTTATTTTATGTGCTTATTTGCCCTCCATATATCTCCTTTCATGAAGTGTTCACATATTCATTTTGGAAGAGGTGTTTTTATATTACTGAGATTTGAGAGTTCTTTATAAATTCAAGATGTAAGCTCCTATCAGATATATGCAAACATTTACTCCCAATCTATGGTTTATTTTTTCTCTTAACAATGTCTTACAAGTGGAAAAAGTTTTTTAATTTTCATGAAGTTGTTTATCTTTTTTTTTTCTTCTTGTGGCACTGTGGATTGAACATAAGGCTTTCATACTGAGCTACATCTCTAGCTTTTTTGTAGACAAAAAAGAGACCCTTTTTTGTAGGGTCTCATTATGTTGTCCAGGCTGGTCCCAAACTTGTGATGCTCCTTCCTCAGACTCCCAGAGTGTGTGCCACGATGTCCAGCCACCAATTTATTTTCTACAGAGGATGTCTTTGGTGACCTGAGAAATCTTTGCATAACCCAAGGTTTTCTTCTAGAAGTTTAACCCTTTTAGGCTTTCATGTAGGTCTGTGATCCATTTAGAGTTAATTTTTACATATGGTGGGAGATATAGATCAAAATTCTTTGTTTTTGCATATGAACATCCAATTGCTGCAGCACCATTTGTTGAAAAGTTGAAAAGATTAGACTTTCCCCAGTGAATTGTCTTTGTCAAAAATCAATTGTCCATATGTCTATTTCTGAACTCTACTATATTCTCTTGACTCGTCCATCTTGATGCTAACACCATGCTGTTTTAGTAATTGTCACTTTGTCAACTTAAAATCAGATAGTATTGCTCCTCCAATTTTTTTTTCTTCAAAAGTTGTTTTGGTTAGTCTGGGAACTTCACGTGTACTTTTAGTGTAATTTACATATGGAATTTTACTCATAAAAAATTTCACGTAGGTGCTTTGTTAGAAACAAACCATTTGTGATGTGGGTACTGTGTAAATGTCTTAAGGATATAGCTGGTAACAGCTTAATCACTGTTCCTTGGTGGCTGGGATGTTAAGTAAACCTAGGAAGTGGGGATGGCTAATATAGAAGCAATTAGTCTATCAGAAGTGAACAGGACATGAAACTAGCAGCAGCAAGGGACTCCAGTTAGCAGAAAGAACCAAGAGAAATTGAGTCCCCTCTGACACTTTCTTAGGAATAGTCTTGAAGAGGGTTTAATACGCCCTATTTTAAAATAAAGTACAAAATAAATACAAACAGCATTTACACTCTATTTTAATCAAGTGATTGGAGACCAGTTTCAGATGAGACTATAAAACCAAATGGAAAGCAAGTTTTCCCTGGAGGCAGAGGAAAGGAGGCAGATACTATTGGGCCAGGAGAAGGAAAAAACGAAACAAAACCTTGGTTGGGATATCTAAGGCTCAAAGCAGTTGGTTTTGGCACATGGTCACAGGGCCCAGCGAAGGAAAGTGTCTGTGAAGAGGCGAGAACGTGCAAAATTTTTTGGCACTTGGCAAATTTATTGGGGTGACCCATGCAAGCCACTGCATAGCAATTACCTACAAAATTAAAAAACAAACAAACCCCGATGAACTTTCCCTGAACCCTGGATCACATGTTTGCTTGCTTCCTTATGAGTCTAATAAAAGTGAGGTGCACTGCCAGTTCAGGGCTCTTTGTCCAATAGAAGCAGGAGTCCCCTGAACCCCTCTTCCAAATTATCTTTGTCTTTCATCCTCATCCGCCCCTGGATTGGGGTAAACTCGTAGGCTGGTTCCTACATCAAAGTTCATTTTACAACACTTGGTCATTGTAGGAGGAAGAAATAGGAGTTGTTAGGGAATAACATCCTGTACATCTCATTTCTGTAAAAGGGAAGGAATTCTCCACTTCTCAAGAAGAAAGGTGTATGAGTCATTTCCCTGCTGTTGGGACAAAATACCCAGCGCTTGCTTCTTAAAGAAAAGGAGGTTTGATCTGGCCAAGTTTCAGTGGGCCCAGTCTATGGTTGGCCAGCTCCAAGGCAGAAATAGCTTGGTGACCAGGAGAGAGAAAAGGGAGGAGGCAGGGACAAGAATACACCTTTCCAAGTTATGCTTGCCAGTGACTCTCATCTTCTAACCAGGCCCTCCTCCAAACATGAGACTTTTGGGGAACACACCAGATCTAAACCATAACATTCCACTCCTGGCCTCCAAAAGACTCTTATCCATCCCATTACACAAAATGTATTTAGTCTATCTCTAAAAGTTGCCAAAGTCTTAACAATTCCAGCATTGCTGAAAAGTTCAAACCCAGTTTCCTCTTGGACTCAAGGCAAACTCATAGCTATGAGTCCTTGTAAAAAATCAAAAAGGAAATGAAGGGCCAGGGATTTAGCTCAGTGGTTCCGCCGCCTGCCTCGCAAGCACAAGGTGCCGAGTTTGATCCCTGATACCCCAAAAAAAAAAAAAAAAAAGGGAAATGAAATACTTTCACCATACTATAACACAGAGTAACATTCCCATTCCAAAAAGGAGGAATGGGAAATTAGACAGAAATCAGAACAAAGCCAAGACTGAAACCCAGCAGGGCAAACATTAAATCCTATGGATCCATGTCTAGGACCAGGGGTGGGCTGTGCTGAGATGTTAACTCCAAAGGGATTGGGAAGCCCCACCCCTACAGTAGTATCAATTGCAGCCCACATGTCCTCTCTTGGGTTGGGTCCACTCTCTCCCTGAGGCTTTCCTCAGCAGATGTTTCATGTTCCTGGCATCTCTCACTTCCTAGGGTCTCCACTGGACCTCTGGCTTCACTCTCAGAGCTTTACACACTGCTGTCTTGGTTCTAATTTTAGGAAGAAAAAAAACGTTATTGGTTTCCTACCATCTTATGTTAAGACAGCAGTAGTTCAGAGGAACATATTCTGGTAGGGAGGGTTCAAAGTGTAAGAGAAAACAAAATGAAAAAGGAAAATGTGATCAGGACCTTAATAGCTATGAATTTATTTTAGTATACAGAAAAAAACTGCTTATGAAAAGTGATACTGGCTTCCCACTTATGCAGCAATATAGTTTTATCCTAGAAATAAATTTAACTTTAAAAAGATTTCTTAGAGAAATGAGAAAATACATGTGGTTCTTAAAGATAGTAGAAATTGTTAAAATTGAGAAGTCTAGGATAGCTCACAGTAATGTGGAAAGAACAAGACACCCAAAATATTCATTGCTTTTCAGATATTGGAGCTTTCTAACTAATAAATCCTAAGAGTTCACACATTATGTAACTCTTTTAGAGGTTATAGTCACACAGTCACATGAACTCCCTCCCCATGATGCTATGGAGTATTGTGATGCCTGGAACTTACTTTGAAATGCACCAAAAGTTAAGACAGATAACACATAGATATCATCAAGCAAATATAAGAAAATGCTTATACTTACAGATGGTAGATACAATGTTCACGTTTTCTTTGTATTTGAAAATATTTATAATAAAATGTTGAAGGAAAAAGATCTACTCAGCTTTTTATGCATAGTCTGCTTGGCTTCACAGGTTAATTTTGATAAATACAAATCAGACAGACATGTTATGCACTGAATTTTTTTAAAATTTTAATTTAATGTAATACATGTAGATATCAATTAAAACATTGAAAAGCTCTCTTACTTCAATGAAGTGCTGACATTTCTCATTTACCAGTTTAGACAAGCACTTTTCAGTCACCTAATGATTTGGAACTGCATTTAGGTTAAAGAGTGAATTTTATGAAGGCCACAGGGGGAAGTTAGGCAAGAACAAGCACAAACAGGTTCACAAACTGTATCACACTTCTTGAGCACAGGTCAAGAACAAGGGGTCACTGTTCAATATCTACAGCTGCGGAAAAAAAATGTAAGCTGTAGGTATGCTGTTTCATAGCTTTAATAAAAACTGTCTTCAAGATGAAGGGGTTTTCCCTCTTGATTTGACATCCATTGTACTTTTCTAAAATTGGAATTTTAACCCCCCCAGGGAAGTTTTATTTTCAAGAGTGGAATTTCCAAAGTACTGTATATAGAATATTGAAATCAACACCAGACTTTCACTACACTTTACCTCTAAGAAGCAAACCAGCAAGATTACCTCAAAAGATTTAAAAGCATGCTGAGTGCTTATTATTTACCAAATAAATAAGGATGAAGTTAATCCAATCCATGGGCAATATTTAAAAGGTCTTTTTCTCATTTGCTTAAAACAAACACTTGACATGGAGGAAGAAATAAAAATATTAAATGTTATACCAGTCTTCCAAAGTAATTTCTTTGCTATTCAATAATCAAGAATTCTATCTATTGGGTTCATTCAAGTCTATGAAAATATTTTAATAAAGTAAAAATCGGTCTTTCTGGGCCTGGGATTTAGCTCAGTGGTTCTGCCACCTGCCCCGCAAGCACAAGGATCAGAGTTCGATCCCTAGTACCAAAAAAAAAAAAAAAAAAATCGGTCTTTCCAGGTCTAGAGAAAATGTTCTAGTGAACCAGATCAAAATTAAGAGGACATATTTTGTTCACCATTTTTATAAAGAAATGATACATTTTAATAGAATCTTTGAGATCTTCCTTTCTTGTGGTGAGATATACCTTTTCATATAGATGTCAAGTATCTGTTTCTACTCTACTCTGCAACAAAAACTTACTAAAACAATTTCCCAATCACACTAACTTTTAAAGTCACTAATTTTCCCAAGACCACTCTAATTCCAAAAACAGACCAGTTATTAAGATAAAAAGATAACTTTCTTAACGACAAATAATTTATTATTCTGGAGTGAATATTTTTTAAAATACAAAAACATTGTATCTTACAGTCCTTAATAAAAGGATAATCATTCTCCAAGTACCCCTTTACATTCATTTATTAACAACTGAGCATCTTTTACTTATACTCCTGAGACATACAGCAATAAACTAGATATACAAGGTCCCTGCTGCCATGGATTAGTCTATAAAGATGAACATAGGTAATAAAACAAGGTAGTTTCAGATAAACACCTTGATAAAAATAAGCCAGGGCAACATGACAGTTACAAGGGGTGTGAACATTGTTTTTAGATTTTTATTTTTAAATCTGGTACAAATGCAAACATTTACCAAAGTTATTAATGTCTAAAGTTTAACAGTGCTGTTAAATATTTAGTACTTCTTACAGGAAACAGAAATCTCCATATCCTTCTTCCCCTAAATTCTCAGAGCAGGCTACTGATTGGCTTTCAGAGACAGCCTCTTTGAAGCAACATTTGAGTGGAGATAATAACGACAAAAAGCTAAGTAAAGGGGATAACAGCTTTCCAGACACAGGGAATAAATGGCAAGTGCAAAGACCCTCAAACAGGGATAAGGTCCTCAGGGTTGTCAGAGCATTGGGAGCAAGGGAAAAGGTCTGGGAAATGATTGGGTCTTTTTTCTGGTCCCTTTCGTTTCTATGGATAGACTGGATTGGGGAGGTGGAGAGGAGAGTGACAGCCGAGGTAAAATAGGAAGGGACTGATGTGATAGTGGCTTGGACTACAGTGCTAGTAGTAATACACTGAAGTTCAGTTTCAGGACACGTAGCACTCACACCTTTGATAGGTGAGACAGTGCTGGTTGGGAGAAACTTCAAATTGGGGACATCAGGGCAAGACAAGAGGACAGGGGAGTGTTATGGACATTTGCCAGTTTCACCTGCTCAGCATTCAAATTCCTTTCTTGGAGTCATAGAATTTACCACTGTGCAAGTTTTAGGGAAAGGATGCAAGCTCTCAAGAGTCCTGGAGGCTGGAATCCAATCTGATGCTTCTGTCAGGGACCCTGAGCCAAGCATGATGTAGAGAAACAGAGATGTTTGATAATTAATTCCAATGGTGGCCATGGGGCTGTGTGGTGGCAGTGGCATCAACAAGAGCAGCACAACCAGACATGATCTTGATTGCTGTCATTCTGACCACTTAGCCTATCTCCGTTTCTGTCCATTTCCCAAGTCTATTTCTTCAGCTTAACAGTTTTTTGAAAAATAAACTTTAAAAAATTGAAATATGACTTATAAAGGCCACAAATCTTAAATTATGATGCTTGATATGTCATCACCTGTGAAATCACTACCTAGACCAAGATATAAAACTTGGCCAGCACTCTAAAACAGCCTTGCATCTGACATACTATTTTTTCAATAAATTCATTATCTGCATGACATAGTTAATTTTTCTAAGTGAGAATGCAACCAAGAACTGTGTCTTGCAACACTTATGAACCTTAATGAATCCAAAATCCAAAACAGGGAAGAATGCAAAAGAGTATTTCTCCTCATATGAAGTCCTTGGGACTTGTTATTCTTAAACATAACTATATCATATCAAAGTACCTAAAAATGATGTTTTAAAATTACAGAATCACAATCTTCAAATCCATCCTCTGGTCCAGAAGCAAAATTCTTTTCAGAACCATAGCGCTACTCAAATCTGTTTCTTTAGATTCCCTAATATTAAGCTATACATCTGAAATTTTCCATAGACAGTTAAGTGGTATGTTACTTGGACAAATATACAATGAAGTAGGCTTTCTGCTTCTGACAGTGACTGTCACAGAATCATCACCAACTACAAAAGCACTAGTATTACTACTTAACAGAACATTAAGACATTTGATAACTACTATATTTACAATATCTACTGTAAGGAACTCATTTAAAAATATGAAAAAGTTATTTCAATCTCATTTGATGGCAATCTATTAAGCTGCTAGGCCTTGCTCCTCCTTACAGTCCTGGCAGATTCTTTTGGCTCCCACTTTAAAATGTATACATAATCCAATCATTTCTCACTACACCTTTATTGCTTTTTCTTGGTAGATTTCTACAAAACTTGTTGCTTGAAGGTAATAGTAAAATGCCCTCAAAAGTTTAAAGGACAATGAGTTTTCATGTAGGAGTGCAGACCGAATCAAAATGAAGATGGAGAAGAAGTAGGCCTGGTCAGATCTGTAAGGATTCAAAGTTTACTTCCCTTTATGAGAGGACAAAAAAGTGTACTTGCAAATATATTTTTTAAAAATTCAAGAAAGAATGCAATCCAATTCACCTCCCTTGGAAGCCCAAACGCCTTTTCTTTTATGAAGTCATTTTTCTACAATTTATCATTCTTTATTAAGATGATATATAAACCTTCAAATGCAAATACTGCTTTGGTTTCTTTTTTTTCCTGGTGCTAGGGGTTGAGCCTAGTGGTGGTAGTACGGGGTTTTTTTTCTGTAAAGTTTCCATGAATGGTAAATATCTTAAATCAAATAAAATTTGTATGCTTTTCTTCTCTTAAAAAAAAAAAAGGGGGGGGGAGCCAGGGATTTAGCTCAGTGATTCCACCGCCTGCCTTGAAAGAGCAAGGTCCCGAGTTCCATCCCTGGTACCAAATAAAAAAAAGAAAGAAAGAGTGAAATCTAAAGACAAGGTAAAACACAGGACTACAAAAAAAATGCATCTCAAGATGAGAGCTAAAAACCCAAATTTTATAAAGTTGATTAAAAAGCATAAAATAATCTCACAGGGTAAAAGATATTTTGTTCTAGCAAAGAAATATAAAACCAGGAATATACTTCAGAAATCCCAAGATGAGAACTAAAAGCATTCTAAACAAATTTGGTCATTCTATATTATGATTAAAAAAGTTAAAGAAGTATTTGCAATCATATTCCAGGAAAAGTAAAAATATCCAAAAGCCATGACCCAATTATGAAGCAAATAACAAACAGCATGATTTGGAGAATTATGGGTATGAGAGAAAACAAGCCATTCCTTTATGCTTGAAACATTTTGATTAAATAAGCATAGACTTCAAGATATAAAGGTTGGATATGCTGAAAGAGATAAATCACCTGGTTACTGTGAATACTTTACATTCTACAGCACAACAACTTGTTATGGATTTGCAGTTTTGGGGTTTTTTTTTTCAGTACCAGGAATTGAACTCAGGACCTTGTGTTTGTCAAGCGGGTGCAGCGCCACTGAGCTACATCCCCAGCCCGATTTGCAGTTTTTGAAATCAATATATACAGGGAAAATATAAGTCAAGTATAGGTCCCCAAAACCATAAACATCCATTAACAGTGATAATATAAACGAACAGTATTATTTACAAAAATAAGGAGGTGATTATAAGTTGAAAGTACAGAACTAGCCATTTCCTCTTTTAAATGAGACTGTTTAAAATCAATGGATCAAGAAATAAAGATTACTAATTAAAGTTATAAAGGTAACCAAAAATGCATTCACAATGGACAATCAACAAATCCAGCTTAGGAACAGCAGCAGTAAACATTCTGTTAGCTCTAAGAAACGAACTGCGGATGACAGGCAGGAACACTTTTTATTTTCTGTCTGAATTGTTCAGAATTTTTACTCAGGTACACGCACTAAAGTTAAAACTGTTTTTAATCTTCAAACATCAAAGTTGGCTGCTCGGAAGGAAGTGATGGTTGACAATCTGTGTAGGGAGATTCCAGGAAATTATAAAAAACAGGTATAAAAACTCAAAAAAGATTTGAAGTAAAAGGCCACTTAAAATGAACTTATTCAGTACTTCTGAAAGCAGCAGTTAATAACAGGTTTATAATCACCACTCAGTGACCCAGACAACAAAAAATGTTTAGAATTCTCTAAATTGGCAGAGATTAACTTTAAGAACTATTTTCATCCAAAATAAAATAATAATACAAGTACAGTCTTTAAAGCATTTCAGATTCTAGAAAATTCAACTTTGGACTAATAAATGTCATTATGCATACTTTAATGGATAATATGTTTAAGAAGATTATTAAAAGATCCTTAAATAATTACGATATTAACATGGCACTAAGGTTATCATCTTTTAATAAAAATTTTTTATTTCTGGAAGAACTTAATTCAATTCATAGAATATGCATGATACAATAAGCAAAAGGAAAAAAACTCATTCTCACAAAACTTTCAACAGTACATTTAAAAAACCTTTTTTTGTTTATATTTTTTGAGACAGGGTCTCACTATGTAGTTCAGGCTGGTCTTACACTCAATGCGTAACTCAGGCTGGCCTCAAACTCACTGTGATCCTCCTGCCTCAGTCTCCCAAATGCTGGGATTATAGGCATGCAACATCATACCTGGTTCCAGCAGTACTGTCTTCTGTTTACCCATGATATACACCTATTACTTTATTATTTTTTGTATTCTAAGTCATTACACGAAGCTTTAAAATAATGAAAATTTCATAAAAAATAGTTATTTGTCTTTTCATTGATGGGTTGCTCTCAAAATAAATAAGGTGTTCTGTTTACCAATGTATATTGCATAGAAATAGTTAAATACTATCGTATTTAGAAAAACATGAGGAAGTCAGTTTTTTAAATGGCTGTTATACCTTAAACCTGGTAATTCAAATTTTATTTATAATTTTAAAATTACAGATTTTGTAGGTATGTTTAAAAAATATATATTCCAATTTAAATTCTCCTAAATTTACATCTTTAAACACTGCTGTGATAGCTATGATAACTAACTTCCAGATATATGTAGTCCAAATAAGTTATTTTTTAAAAATCAGTACCATGTAGTATGCTGGCAAGATGATTTCCTTAGAAACAAATGGCAGTAATTATAAAGTCAACATTATAAATGTGCTACTAAAATAAATATTCAACACATCACAGAATACAAAACTGCATAGAAGAGTTGAAGTTTTTTAAATCTAAGTTACTAGTGCAGAAAGCTGGACACTTGAGGATTTTGTCACTTTAAAAGATGACTTTTCACAGGAAATACTGTGACTGTCTATAAATCAAAAAGGGAAAGTCTACCATTTCTACTCAGGTGCTTCTAGAGTGTTTTTATTCAAGTGTTTTTATGTAAATCTTCCTTTAACTTAAATGGTCTTTCCCTGAAAAAGATTTTTAGCTAATAATTTTGGTCCCATGACATATATATCTTAAAAAGTACATGTGATTCTACAGTTAACCCCTCCTCTCATTCTAATACCTATACACATATGCACTTATAAATATATACATATTTTCAGGATTATAAAAATATTTCATTTGTATAAGCTTAAATAATTACTGAATGTTAATACAGAATACATTAATATTTGTATAATTTTACTTTTATTTATAAAAAGGTTTTCTTATAGCAGCATTTTGCATTGCAAAGGAAATGAGACCACAAGATGTTGCAGTGTACAAGGATTCCTACTGCAAATCAGGCTGGGCATCTGCAATGTTCCTCTGGAACAACTTATTCCTAAAGGAACATCTGTCTCAGCTATAGAAAAGCAGTTCCTATAAAATACAAAACCTTGAACTAATAACTTACCTGAACCTTATAAGTGCATCAGAAAGTTACCTCCACAGAACTAGCAAGGTTTATTAAAATGTTCAAAAAGTCCAGGTTACCTTTACTCCTAGTAAAATTTTCTAATGAGAAAAGTAAAAAATTATATTACTGGGTAATGTTTTTAATTGAATCACATGAACTTATTAGAAATTAATTGAAGGTTTCAGGACTAAAAAAGTAAAAGCAACACCATGAGGAAGTATAAGAAAAGAAAATAATGAGTAATTTGAAACTTTAAGACATTATTAAAAACCAGATAGAATCCTTCAATCTCAAATACTCATGTTAAGCTTGTTTTTGTTGAGCTCACGTTCCAGATTGCCAATCAAAGTATCAATACTTTCTTGTAGATCTTTGAGATTAACTTTTTGATCCACTGTAGACTCAATTGTCTGCACTGTCAAATATGACTGAAATGTGCACTCTCTGGATGTGGAAATTGGCTGTTCGATCATTATTTCTGGTCCATCCATTTTGCTATAATCTTCTCTGTTTTCTCTGTCTTCTGAAGGTACATCATCATAATCCACATCATTTAAATTTTCTTTTTTATTTAAAAAGTAGTTTTCTCCACAGCCACTCCAGTCTCCTGCATAACGATTGCTAAGTGGGCTGTCTAATCTGGTTTGCCTTGGCCTAAGTACTCCTGATGAATCGGTACTACTCAAATTTAACATGTAAGGTCGTTCTTTTTTCCGCCTCAAATAGTTCAGAGAAGATGACTGCTCTGGGAACAAACTGTTTGCTGATTCTCTGATAGTTAAATGTTGCACTAGAAATCAACAGTAAATTTGTTTTAGTAACAGGAATCCAACTGGTCTTAAAAAATAGAAGCTAAACCATTTAATAATCAACTACAAACATGCATTAAAACAAAAACATGCATACTATCAAAAAGAAGCATTCCATAATTATTTTTTCTATTACCAAACATAATCAAGATTAGGAGTAGAAGCTAGTAAAATGTTCAGTGGTGCTAATTCATGCTATATCAAAATGTCCCCAAATAAATCAAATTTCCAATCTTGATTAACTTTCTGTGCAAGTTAATTATTATCTAGCTGTAATTCAAACAGTAGCTAAGCTGGTAGCTTCTCCTAAATTAAAGGCTATAGCGAAAAAGCAGGCAAGGCATGTTGGTGTACGAACAAAACAAAAATTCCATTGTCTGCAAACACTAAATGAGGCAAAGGCATCTAAAGTGATTACTCTAAAAGTTTTGACCTTAGTGGGCTTTTTGCAATTAGCAGCAGTGTCATAATTTACTAAGCAGCCCAAATTTCATCTTGATAAAATACACAAAGACTAGACTTAACCATCTGTTACCTGAGTTTGATTATACAGCATTAGCTACTAATAGTCTTCATTTATTGCCTGTAAATAGTACAGATATTTTATTTTCCCATTCTGGTTAAGTATTTAACAATCCCAAATAACATTCCTCATTTTAAGACTATTTTCTTCTGATATAAGTCATATTACCTCTTTGACACTGTATTGGCCATATAGAGGGTTACCATAGAGAAAAACATTTCATAACAAATTTGGCTTTACTGCTTACTCTTGTGTATATTGAACAAAATATTTAAGCCTCTTCTACATATACAATTGACTTAATTTGAAATGTAGGCATAGCTAATAGACAATCCATACTCATTTTTTTTGCTTATTTGTCTGTTAATAAATGCCTCTTTCTATACTTACCCTCACTAAGATAAAAGTATCATAAATTGGTGACAACACACCAACCTACAACACAGAATGAATGCTTATTACTGTACAAAATAAGGTGAAGAAAAAACTGTACAAACTTGCTTATTCTAGTTTTCGAGACTTAGTGATATTCAGAACATTTTTCAGAAGCCACATAATTCTTACCTGTTTTTTATTAGAATGCTTCATAATTGTGTATAGGCATGTTTTTAAAATTTCTACCTATTGATTTTTGTGATGATTATTATCTATCATTACTGATAGCCAAGAAAATTTTATCTAAAATTTTCCAGAAAATATAAATTGGGTATTTACTTTATAAATGGATCTTTAATGTCAGTATAAAATGTTCCATACCACTAACTGATGTAATTGCAGAATGGCTAACACTGCTTATCTTTACTGTCTCCTTGCTTTGTCCCTTTATTCTCTGTGCTATTCCTGTTCTTACTGCTTAGTTATCAGGCCTGTTGTTTTATCAATCAATTAATGACTGCTAACCTTAAGATTAATCTGATCCAATCATGTATTTTTTTACTGTGTGTACCTTAATCTTATTATGCCTGTATTTTCTAACATTCACCTGCAAAATCCAGATTTTTTTCTTTTTTTGTGGTAATGGGGACTGAACTCAGAGCCTTTACACTAAACTACATCTCCAACCCTTTTATTTTTTGTTTTGAGACAACGTCTCACTAAGTTGCCCAGGCTGGACTTAAACTTGCAATCCTCCTCCCTCAAGCTCCTAGAGCACTTGGATTATAGGTATGCACCACTTTGTCCAGCTCAGATTTCTTTTGTTGCCAGTTTCTTAAGGCTGTTTTTAGCCAAGACTCTATTTGAAAACTATTTTTGTATATTTTCCTGGAAAATACTTTAAAAATCAATTAAAGTGTTATATTTTCTAAGCTAAAAATTCAATTTCTGAAAAATCAGAAAGTTACTGAGGAGGCAAACCTTATTTCATAACAAACCATATCTTTCCTTGGAGCCAGTTGACCACAGACTGAATCTGCTGAAACCATAAATTAAACCTCTTCTACTTTAACTTGTGAGTATTGGGTATTGTGTCCCAGTGTTGGGAAAGCTGACTAATACATAACCCAATATGTAACACATAAAACATGAAAACATAAAACATGAGGGCTGGAGATTTAGCTCAGTGGTTCCACAGCCTGCCTCGCAAGCACAAGGTCCCGAGTTCAATCCCCAGTACCAAAAAAAAAAACACCATGAGAAGATTGTTCTGTTCAAAAGAGAAGTGTGTTCCCTGGCCATTTGTCAATCCAGCCCCAAAGTTATTTGAAACAATTTGGGACTCGGTGGAAAATGAGCTGAATAACTATTGGCAGGATGATTTTTACCTTCTAATGCTGATATGCTAGAGTTTTAATTAATTTGAAGGCATAAGTTTTCAAATAGAAATGTCAAAGCAAACTGCCTTCTTGCCCAAAATAATTTTTAAAAAGCCACAAACAAAAAAGTTTAAAAAGTAAAAAAGAGGTGTGTGGGTAACTCTGTAATTCTGGAGCGGAAGAAATTCCAAAAAGAAAACGATATGCACCTATGTAGCAAGGAAACTTCCTCCTGAATGCGTGGGGATGAATGGGCATTCACCAAGTTAACAAGCTGTGGCCCAGTCTCATCACATTCTCGTGTCATCATCCATTTTCTCATGGCTAGTAACTGTACCACATTTTCTTAAATCCAATAGCAGGTAACTTAAAGGATAAAACTATAATTTCCTCTCATCCTTCTGCCATTTTGTCCTGTATTTGAGATATTATTTTTTAAAACAAACTTTTTTTTTTAACACCTAAAGAAAAGAGAGCATGGTGGTACATGCCTATAATCCCAGCACTTGGGAGGCTGAAGCAGAAGGATTGCCACAAGTTTGAGGCCAGCCTGGGCTACATAGAGAGCTCAGGGCCAGCTTGTACTACCAAGAGAGATCCTATCTCAAAAAACAAAAACAAAAGAAAGAACTTTTTAGAAAAAAAAAACAGTAACACTTAGCTTTGGAATAAGATCAGGCAATATGAAATCTGAACCTGATTTTTCTGTGACAGAGAATATAAACTAAGTTTCTGTCCACAAACCCAAAAAACAAGATGGCTATGACAAAATCATTTAAGTGGCAATAACCCCTGATACACAGTTAATGACAAAGAACTCAGAAACTAATAGTAAACTTAATGGTATATCCAGGAAGGCAAGTTTTCATTTGTGATTACAATAAAATGGCTCTGGTTCCAATTAGTGAAGTTTATTAGAATTAAAGCAGTTCTAGAAAAAGGAAATACACACTTAAAAACTGTAACCTGTGAGATCCTTTATGTTGGGCCCCAAATAGAGAAATCAGCCCAATTATCCAAAGAAGTCTGATTCAGGAGTCTAAAATAATTAATGCATTGTAATTCAGGTAAATTATAAATTAGAAATAATTTTTAAGCCTGTATAAAAAGTTTAACTTCCCAAATTTAAAAGTTGAAAAATGTTAACTTAATTTTTAATTCATTTTTAAAATTAGGTTTATTTAAAAAGATTAGCTCAAGCATTTCTTTTAATTTGGTCTTTCCTTGTTATATATATTAATAAAGAGTAACAATAAACATTTAAGAGCTCACTTTGTGCTAACACTTTGCTCATTGCCTTAAATATTTTCTCTCAATCTTCACAACCCCAAAGTCAGTGCTATTTATAGAGAAACAAATGGAAGGTTAGAGAAGCTACAGTATTTGCGAGGGCCAGGGATTTAGCTCAGTGGTTCTGCCACCTGCCTGGCAAGCAGAAGGAGCTGAGTTCAAGTCCCAGTACCAAAACAAACAAACAAACAAAAAAACCCCCACTTATTTAATTAGTAATTTTCAGAAACTTGGGACCCTATATAAAACATACTGTTACAAGTCCTACAGGTAGAAATACAGTATTTGCCTGAGAGCACCCTGCTGGCAAGTGCCACAGATCAGACTTAATTCCAAGTTGACCAGGACCCAAACATTTCTACCACTATATTCTACACTAAGCATCAAAGCACTGTTCATGCTTAGGCCCATGCAGTGTGGGGCTAGAGGAGCAATAGGAACTATAATTTAATAAAGTTTTGGAACTCAAATATAAGATCCTTTATAGAACACTTAATTAAATACACGTTTCCTTTACCTCTGAAGCTGTGTAAGAAATATATCAGGAAAATAACTGTTGGCCTTTCCTTATTGACTGGAATAATGGATGGATGGATAAGAAGGAATAAAAAATCAAAGGAAAGTGCTAGTTCAACCTGAGGTGCTTTAAGAATAACCATAAATACAGATGTCAAGAAGAATGGTTTTCAGAAGAAAAATGAATTCTACTTCATACTAGTTGAATTAAAAATGATGTCTACTCAAGGTCCCAAGTTCGATCCCCAGCACCAAAAACAAAAACAACAAAAAAACAAGGTCTACAGCAACAACACCCTGAACAATCTGGTCTGATCTTGGAAAAATGAGAGGGGTAAAGAAATTAATATTAACTGAGTATTATGTGCCAAAAGCTGTATTGAGCACCTTACATACATAACCCTTATATAAAGTCTGTAAGTTTATTATTATATCCATATCACAAAAGTGATACTGAGGCTCTATGATGTTTAGGAACTTGCCCAAAGTCAGACTGCCAACAAATAGCATAACCAAGATTCAGATTCAAATTCTGACTAAATCCAAAATGTGTACACTGACCCCTGTATGTCTACAATATTATCAGCAAAAGCAGAAAATATAAATGGAAAAAAATCTAAAAGGCAGGTATGAATTAATAACTATTTGAAAAAGCAAAATCAAAAAAAGATTTTCTTCAATCACATGTTTAATGAGTAATTCAGATACCTTATCATTAAAAGATATTTCTATGGAACCATTTACCTGGCCAGAGCTGGAGTAAGTAGTGAAGAACTTCAATATGTTTTTTAAAATCCAAAGCACTTGCAAGTTCCTCTGAATCAGTAAAGACTCTGTTGTTATGGGTAGAAGTCTCTTGTCTCTGGCTTAGTAACACTGGTCCAAAGCACACAGCCAAATTCTGACAGGTCATCTTATTCACTTCATGGTAAGAAGCCACTAATTTCAAATGATCCAACAACATCTTTAGGGTTGCCTAAATTAAATTAAATTTAAATTGCACTTAATATACTCACATAGGGGCAAACACAAGGACACAATTTCTGGCAGAAAACATAAACAGGCATCCAGTCACTTTTAAAAAGGTTGTTTCAATGGTTTGCTTGTAATGGAAAAAAAAAGAAGTCCAAAGAGATGAGGTAGGAAGTCAGATTATAATGTGCAATTCCACTTCTGAGATTGCAATAAGTAATTCTAACTGAAAACAATCTATGTACAAATATACACAAATAAGTTCAATTTTTTTTTTTTGGTACCAGAGATCGAACTCAGGACCTTGTGCTTACGAGGCAGGCACAGCGCCAGAGCTAAATACCTGGGCGTCAAATTTTAAATATTATAAAAAAGGGAACAGTGAATTATGTCAATTCCACTCAATAGGCTATTATACAGCTATTCTAGAAAGGATGTTAACAGTATGGGTAAATTCATATGACAGATTACAACACTCACAAAAACTGTAAAACCCTGGACAAGTAATTTAAATTATCTAACACTTATTTCTTCACTTAAAAGTGGCACTTATAATCTTACCTAGTGTTGGAGAAGGGAGCATTTTTACCTCTTCAGCAGTAGCAGTCCCTCCCCGCTTCCCCTACACTGCTTCATTCCACCCCCCACCCCCACCCACCCAAAGGAGAGGTATAATTGGACAGATCACAAGACATTCAAGGACCACAATAAACCAACCAGTGGAAAAAGTTACGGGGGTTGAAGTTTCTACCCACTCATTCCTGTATTTTCTGCCTCCACATGGTAAGAAATGCAGGCAAAGTCAGCCTCCTCTGGACAAGCCCAGCCACATCTTTCTTTTATTTTCCCTTCTATTCTAAGGAATAGCCGCTGAAGTTGGGCTGAGGCTGGTTCTGCAGATCAGCCAACTTCCTGTCTCTTTTGCAGTACTTGAGGATATTGGTGCCAAGAGCAGATCTGGGGGAGGGGCAAATGGGAAGAGGCAAGGAGGAAAGAAAAAGTAGTGGTGGAGGGGGTTCATTTAAGTCTTAAGGGTAAGCCATACACACCAAAACAGCCATGATATTTAAAAATACTAAAAGGAAATACACCAAAATGTTAATTATACTTGCCTTTGGATATTGGTAATTATAATTTTATACTCTTCCTCATCTCAATTTTTCTATTCAAACATTTTGAGAATAAGATAATATGTTTTAAGAACTTCTAAGATATATCCATGCCTACCTAGGCTAAGGTCAGATACAGAAAAAACTGATTTCTAGATTCATACTGTTTAAAAAGCAATAAAGGCAGAGTTTAACTCTTCAAGTGCCACAAATGTCAAAAACCTAAACTGTTTGTAGCTCTGGAGCTAAAAATATAACTCATTAGCTAGCTTTCAGGAAAAATGTATGCCAATTAGACTTACCTTCTCAACATCTGGCAGACAATTCAACAGATCAACAGTGTACTTAGAATCACATGGATCATTCTCACAACCATTTGATGACATTTTCAAAGGACTTTTTACCATTGCATCTAGTACAGCCTCATAAAGCTGCTTTGTTATCAGAGGAGATGGAAGCTCTCTTAAGTAATCCTTAAGAACACCTTTGAGGGGCGGCAAATCAGAGAAAGTGATTGATCTTCAGAGTGAAATAAAGAACAGTGGTGAATTTTTTTAATGTATTATTACAGCCAACTTTTAATATTCTGAAAACAATAAAAGCAACAACATATAAAAAGTATTGTAGCAAAACTCTAGCATTTTGTATTTTTTAAGTTATCTTGGTAATCGAAAGCAAGCTAGACAAGCACACACATAATCTCCAGTTACCATACACAATAGGTTAATTATAAAGTAAGCTGTCTTTGTCAAGCACACTGGAGCATCCCTGTAATCCTGGCACTCTAGCAGTCTGAGGCAGGATTATGAGTTTCTACCTGCTTTGGCAACTTAAGAGACTCAGCAAGACCTTATTTTAAAAAAAAAATTGAAAATTAAAAAAAACTTTAGAAAGAGCTGGGAATATAGCTCAGAAAGGCTCTAGGTTCAAATTCCAGTACTATCAAAATAATAATGAGCTATTTATGATATACATATCCTATTAATTCTGCCCTCTAATAAAAAGCTCTAAATGTATGTAAAACAGAAGAAAACAAGGCATACTAAACTGGGTGTGGTGTCTTATAGCTGTATTCCAAACACTCTAGCGGCTAAGGTGGGAGAATTTCAAGTTTCAGGCTAGCCTAGGCTACATAGTAAGTTAAAAAACAAACAAACAAAAACTCCACAATATATACTAATATTAATTGTAAATTATTTCAATTATAGAAATTTTGAAGCCAGGGATTTAGCTCAGTGGTTCTGCCGCCTGCCTCTCAAGTGCAAGGACCAGAGTTTGATCCAAAGTACCAAAAAAAAAAAAAAAGAAAAGAAATTATGAGTTCCTAAGCTTTTAATTAATAATGAAAAAGCACCAGTTGTCCACAGCCCTTGCAAATAAATGAATAATAAAAATGTATTTCACCTCTTAATATGTCTTAACCATATGTACTATTTGTTTGGGTAATCTCTCATGGTATACTCTCCTATGAAGAAAAAAAAAAATCATCCCTAAAACTAAATGAATGAAACCAAGAGCCAAAAAACATCAGACTTGTCACAACAGGAGTGATGTAAATCTATTCCAAACACACCACAGACAGTTTCAAACAAAGAGATACTACTTGTAGGGAAAACAGTAAATGGTAGTCATTACACACAGTAAGTAGTACCTTGGTTCACAAACCTAATTCTTTTCACAATTCTAGTCACAAACCAAATCTAATTCAATGATTAGGTTGAATGGTGACCTTACGGGAAAATCTGATTCGGTTTGTGACCAATTCAGTTTGCAACCAAAATTGTAGAAAGAATTAGGTTTGTGAACCAAGATACTACTATGTAAGCAAAGTAGGTACTAAGGCTGAAATGTGATCACAGGGAAAAATAAAGGACATTCTGACTCCACAAACCTCAATACACACAATATTGATTCAGAACATGCTCAAATTTTAACTGAGAACTTAATTTAAAAGTTTAGTTGAAATAAAAATTTTAAAAAGGGCTGAAGATGTATCTCAGTGTGAAGGCCCTGGGTTCAATCCCCAGTACCGTCAAAAAAATTCTATTGTATCAAATGATATCCAATAATCAGGAAAAAACATAATAATAATCAGGTCAGACAACCATGAAATTAAATACTGTGGAGAGCAGTATTTCTCAGCTATAGGAAAGATATAAGAAAGTAATACATGCATATATAAGAGCTTTGCTTTAGTAGTGAATCAAAGAAATAGACCAAAAGGAGAAGACACCTGGAAAACTTACAAGCAAGACTAAAGACTTTGTAAAAACAAAACAAAAAACCCCAACTTAATTGTATATCAGAATAGAGTTCAAGAGTATCTGACATCCAATAAAAAACTGCCAAATAGGACCAGGGATTCAGCTCAGTTACTCCACGCCTGCCTGGCAAGCACAAGGTCCTGAGTTCGATCCCTGGTACAAAAAACCCCAAAACACCAAAAAAACTGTCAAATAAAAGAGACAAAATGAGCTATTATGAAGAGAAAAATCAATCAAAACAAAACAGACATGATAGCTGACATAATTAGTAGACAAGGACATGAAAGCAGTTATGACTGTACTTCATATATTCAAAAAGCTAGAATAAACAATAAATATGTTAAGTAGAAACTTGGAAATAGGTATGTATGTGTGTATATGTGTGTGTTTCCCAATGAAACTTTGAGTTGTGAAAATTAAGATATTTGAAGCTAAAGATGCAATAAATGAGAAATATCAGAAAAAAAAACTAGTAACTTAGATACAGCAATAGAAACAATACAAATTGAAAGCAAGGCGGTGGGGATAAGCAAATTATCAGCGAACTGTGGAATAACTTCAAGTGGCCTAATGTATTTGCAACTAGAATCTAATTTTTTAAGAATATTTTTTAAAGAAAGGAAGTGGCAGGGGGTGGTAGGCAGGATGGAAACAAAAATAATTTGAAGAAGAAAGAGACAAAATTATAATTATAGTTGAAGATTTCAATACTGCTATGAATAAATAGACAAAAAACAAAGAGAAGATTGGGAAAGATTATTAATCAACTTGATTCATGATAAGAGTTACAGTGCACTCTGACCCAAATCACCAGAACAAACAGTCTCTTCATGAGCTCAAATCAAACATGTACCACAAAAAACATGCTGGTTTTAAAATAAACCTATATAACTACAAAAGCAGTTAAGCCTATGAAATATATTCTGTGATTATTTATATATTCTGTGGAATTAAATGAGAAATCAATACCAGAAAAATATCTGGAAAATCCCCCAGATATTAGGAAACAGACTAAAATATTTCTAAATAATCCATGGGTCAAAAAAGAAAACAAACCAGGCAGGAGGACTGCTGCAAGTTCCAGGCCAGCCTGAACTACATAGCAAGACCCTGTCTCAAAAAGAAAAAAATATATATTAGTATTTTGAACTGAATTAAAATAAAAACATGACTTATAAAAATCCATGGGAAGCAACTAAAGTAGAGTTTAGAGAGAAATCTATAGCAGTTAGATGTCTATATTAGAAAAGAAGAGGGCCGGGGATTTAGCTCAGTGGTTCCACCTCATGCTCCACAAGCACAAGGACCTGAGTTCAATTCCTGGTACCAAAGAAAAGAAGAAAAGTGTCAAATCAATGGTCTTCACTATCTTAAAAAACTAGAAAAAGTGGAGTATGTTATACTCAAAATAAACAGATAAAAGGAAGTAAGATCAGAATGAAAATTAATGAGGTAGAGAAAAAGGAAAGCAGAGAATATTAATGACATCAAAATTTGCCTCTTGGAAAAGATTGGCAAAATTGACAAACTTTTAGGTAAATCAACCAAAAGAGAAAGATGAAAAAGTTGAGAGAGAGAGAGAAACAGAGACAAGAGCCTGAGACCCAAATAACTAAAATCAACAATAAAAGAGGAGCCATTACTACCAACCTTACAAAAACAAAAAGGATAAAAGAATATGAACAACTGAATCTAATAAATCAGATAACTAAAATGAAAAACTCAGATAACTAATAAATCAGATGACTAATAGTCCAAGGAAAAACAGAAAACCTGAGTAGATTTATAAGAGATTGAATTAATAATTTTAAAACTTCCAGAAAGAAATCCAAGCCTCAATGCATTGGGGAATAATACCAACTATTTGAAGAATTAGTACCAATTCTTCAGAAACTCTTCCCAAAAGCAGTACAGAACATTTCCCAACTCATTCTAAAAAACCAGTACTAACATGATACCAAACGAGATAAAAGCATCACAACAAAGCTACAAACAAGTATCTCTTAGGAATATAAATTACTTGACAAAATACTAGTATATAGAATCCAGGAATATTTTTAAAGGAGTATATACCATGACCAAACGGAATTTATGCCAAAGATGTAACGTTGGTTCATATCTGAAAATCAATTAATGTAATATAGGAATAGAATAAAGAATAAGAGTGCAGGGCTGGGGATTTAGCTCAGTGGTTCCGCTGCCTGCCTCGCAAGTGAAAGGACCTGAGTTCGATCCAAAAAAGAATGAAGATGTATTGTGTCCATGCACCAACTCCCCATGATGAATGAGACCATTATGTACTGTAAACATGTACTAATTTTAAAAAGTAAAAATTAAAAAAAAAAGAAGAAGAGTGTAACCAGGCAGGAAAAAGATGTGAATCCCAGCCTTATTTCTGGGAAACCTTTGAAGCTATGATGGACTTAAGTCTTAATGTATGTATGTTTCATTATATTGCTCTTAAGACTACTGAGGTGGCAGTTTTAATTCTTAAAAACAATAAAATGGAAACATAAATACTGAGAGTGTAGCCGGGGATGTAGCTCAGTGGTTTGGCCGCCTGCCTTGCAAGTGCAAGGTCAAGTTCAATCCCCGGTACCAAAAAAAAAGAATGATCTTCTCAATAAACTCAGAAAAGACACTTTTAAAAATCCAATACACTTCATGATTTAAAAAAAAAAACAGACTTGGAAGAAGAGAACTTCCTCACTTGATCAAGTGCATTTTTTTTTTTGAGACAGGGTCTCGCTCTGTAGTGCAAGCTGGCCTCAAACTCACTACATAGCCCAGGCTGGCCTCAAACTCTCAGTGATCCTCCTGCCTCAGCCTTCGAGTTCTGGGACTACAGTCATGTGCCACCGTGCCCAGCATTATAAAGGGAATTTACGAAATATCTACAATTAACATCAAACTTAGCACTCTGAATGATTTGCTAATATCAGAATGAGAAAGATGTCTATGCTTAATACTTCTATTCAACATTATATTGGAGGTTCCAGTCAGAGCAATTAGGTAAGAAAAAAGAAATAACAAAAATGAATGGTGGCACATGTGTATAATTCCAGCACTCTGGGAGAATGACAAGTTTGAGCCCAATCTGGGCAACATAGCAAGACTCTGTCTCACAATAAATGGTGGCTGAGGTAAAACTGTCACGAGTTTGAGGCCGGCCTCAGTTACATAGTGAGGTCAAGGCTAATCTGAACTACAGTGACATCTT